TCTGTATCAAATTTTTCTTATCCATAAATATTTTATTTTATAAGTTATATCTATTTTAAGATCCTCCTGCTGTAAGATGTCAGAAACAAATAGCTTTGATATCATATTCCGCTTCTTGCTCTATATTCTGCTGTGTTTCTCGATTCGAATGTAAAGTTTCTTAAATTTCGAGGACAATTTGCGAGAGCGATACGTACTAGAGCGATAAATATAACGGCTCGTTTCTTTTTATCGTGCAAAACGCCGCCGATGTTCTTCGCTTCCACCTTCGTACGAAGCACCGCGGTGCGCATTCTCAGGCGTGTGTTTATACGCATTGTCTCATATATTACAAATTATCTCCCACTTGCAACAACGAGTTTTCACCAGACAATACTGCCGCGATAAAGTTGAAATTCACGGACTGCGGCCGTGAATTATTGGCGCCTTTAATTCCGCAGCTTTAGGTTTATACACTTTAGCGAGCATTTCTGCGTTCACGGGTAATTTTCCCGGCGGTAAAATGCCCAGGTTCGGACATTATTATATGCCTGGAAATATCAACTTTTTTTAGTAGTATAACGTTACTTTTTGAGCGTTTCATTAAGCTCGAGGGCGCGTTAATGTTCTCTCTCTCTAGATCGCTCACTCAGCCACTTTGAAAATCGCCTTTTCATGATACGCTTTTCATTTTACATGATCATTTAATTAACATTTAATATTTTTAACATTTTCTGTCACGCATATGTGTGTAAAATTTTTTTACTGATATAGCTAATTCTTTCTAATGTGTGTGTGTGTGTGTGTGTGTGTGTGTGTGTGTGTGTGCGTGTGTGTGTGTGTGCGTGTGTGTGTGTGTGTGTGTGTGTGTATGCATGCTTAACTATAATAGTCATAATTTTATTTTATACGAAGCTATACATATATTAAATTTTCCTTAAAGCATAAATTACAAAAAAATATTTACATTCTTTTAATTATCAACGTTAATTTTCACTAACATTTTAATCATTTATATAGGCTTTTATATTGTTATATTTTATTAACATTTTACTATTCATTATCATTTTATATGATAATGATTATAATAATTTAATTTATACTTATAAAATATAGTTTTTCTGCTTCTATCAGAATGAAATAGAAAATCAAATTTAATAATTAAGAAACTTTATATGTATAATAATTTGAAAACTTACGTAATCTGCATTGTCTATTTTGATTTGTGCAAAGACTATACTATTCAACTTCTTTTTTCAAATATTTAAACATATCAAATTTTCTATATATCTATAATTTTCAAAATATACAGAAAATAATCTATGTTTTTCAAATAAAAAGATTTAATTCTTTTTAAGTCCTTTCTCTATTAATAATATACAAATGCTTTTGTGATTCTCTATTTTCTTATCCTTTGTACTTTCTTTCACATTTTTTCTGGATATTATACATATAAATATATTTCTATCTTAATACACATTTAGTAATATTTAAAATATCGAATATATATATAATATTTAATCTTCTTTAAATCTTTCATGAGAGTGAAAGATATATATAAATGAAAATTAATTTCGTATCGATATTATCTGAATTATTAATCGCAAGAAATCTCAAATTTTTTACATGATACTTATCTTTTATGTTGAATTGCGACATCGTTATATAATTTCCTCAATAGGCAATTCAATCCATATGCATCATATATTAAAACATATATATTATAGATCATATATTAATATTAATTATATTTTTCGATTTTATAAGAGAGAGATAAATTCAAAAGTTTAACTTTTTAAGAGTAATTGAAAGAGATAATTTAGGAACTGTTATTTTAAATTTTCAAATAACGTCTATGTACAAAAAATACATTAAAATTTAACAATCCTGCATAATAAAAAAAACTTTAGTAAAAAATAAAATGTTGTACTTGTGTTAAAATATTTCTTATAATAATTTGTACATAATATTTGTGTTATTTTCTAACAGATTTATTTTCTGTTAAATTAACAAAAAAATTTAAGTGAGTCGTTTGAATACGTAAAATGTGTTAAATTTAACATTTTTCAACGTAGCTTATTAACCTGTAAGATACTAATTTTAAAATTATAATGTATGTAGAAAAATTTAATAAATTTCTATTACAGCAATAAAAATAATTGCAACATGACTGCTTTAACAATAATAATTAAAATTAAAAATGATGTATATGTCATCAAATATCAAATATATAATAAATTCTAAACTGCAGACTTTTCATCAGATTGCATATTTGATTCATCAAATCCTCATAGGTCAAAGAATGTAATTATGCTTAATTTTCATATACTTAATTAGCTTATATCTTTTCATGCCTTTTACTGTCTTTTGCACAATGAACTTGGACTGTTAAACATCTGCAGTGAGTATTTACTTTGATCTCGTTCTGCTACGACTCGTAAAACGAGTCAAAAGAAAGCGCGGCTAAGTGATTAACTTTCGTCATGCTTCGTAGTAAACGAGTAAGAAATTGTAGCGTAACTTCGCGGTTTTAAATTCGCGAATTTTTATTACGCGTACCCCTCGCTGCTTATTCACTTTCTGAAGCGCGAGACGAAAAAAGTTTTCAAGATTATTATCGAGCGAAAAAGCCAAGAGCTTCTACTTTTTTGGAGTTTTTGCCATCAGATATCTCGGAATATCGTTCTCCGGCGAATTCGCGCGTATAATTGGAAAGGAATCCCACCGCGCTTTCCTTTTGCCTTTACTCTCGAGAACTGAACGCGACATGATGATTTCATTAATGAGAAATCTTAGAGTTTATGCAGTCGTTTTTTTCTACTTTGTTTATATTTCCTGAAATACCTACAATATGTTCCACATTCTATAATGAGAGAATTTTATTTAGCTAA